ATATCATTATTTTAGAGTAGCATCTCTTCAACAACGGTGGGAGCCTCTTCATAATCAATTTCAATCTTGGTCTCCACCACCTTCCAAACCTTCCTATTGATTGACTTGATATATGTTGTCATTTTATCCTTTCAATAGGGATAATTTGTGCCATCAAATTGGGGTGGCTTCTTGGTGTTGTTGATTTGAGCCATTTTTACACCAAAGGTTGTTAAGCCTCAAATCATGGTGACCTCGGCTCTGATACCACTTGAAAGGTCTTAATGGCTAGAGGGGGGTGAATAGCCTATTAAAAAATTCTACAACAACACTTAGCAAACTGGTTAGACAAATATGAGGCGAAGCAAGTGTTGCGCTAGCCTACTAAAAATGCAAGCCACCTACCATAATTCTAGTTTCTATAGTCTCTATCCACACAATGGCTATGTTGCTACACTAAGTTAGTGTGCTCTCAAAGGCTAACTAAAGAGCCACACTAACCAAACTAACAAGCTCTCACGACTAGCTGCACTAAAGAGCTTGACAATAAGTTTGTGGTAATGTATAGAGATAGAGCAAGATGGTTATACCGCCGAGTCGAGGAATGAACCAATCAATCACAAGAATGAATACCAATCACCTCAGAATCAAATGATGACACAACGATTTTTTACCAAGGTTCACTTGCTTGCCGGCAAGCTAGTCCTCGTTGTGGCGATTCACTCACTTGGAGGTTCACGCGCTAATTGGCATCAGATGCCAAACCCTCAATGGGTGCCGCACAACCAACACAAGATGAGGATCACACAAGTCATGAGCAATTTACTAGAGTACCTTTTGGCTCTCCACCGGAGAAAGGTCAAGAACCCCTCACAATCACCACGATCGGAGCCGGAGACAATCACCAACCTTCACTCAATGATTCTCGCTGCTCCAAGCCGTCTAGGTGGTGGCAACCACCAAGAGTAACAAGCGAATCCCGTAGCGAAACACGAACACCAAGTGCCTCTAGATGCAAACACTCAAGCAATGCACTTGGATACTCTCTCAATCTCACAAAGATGATGAATCATTGATGGAGATGAGTGGGAGGGCTTTGGCTAAGCTCACAAGGTTGCTATATCAATGCAAATGGCCAAGAGAGTGAGCTAGATCTGGCCAAACGATATTTATAGACACCCCAAAACAATAGAGCCATTGGCTCAATTGTTGGGCTGACTGTGGGACGACCGAACGCGTAGGTCGTGTGCACCAGATGCATCCGGTGTGGTGACCGGACGCGTCTGGTCGCTGTGTCCGGTCACTGCTCGACCGCCATGTGTCCCATTCAAACGAAGTAGCCATTGCTGCCACGAATCCCATGCTCAACTACGACCGGACGCATCCTGTGTGGATGACCAGACACAGGTGGGGCAGCGTCCGGTCGAGTCCAGAGAGCTCCTAAAGCCGCTCTAGGCTAACCAGACACGTTTGGTCACACCAGACCGGATGCGAGAGACGCAGAGTCCAGTCGAGTCTAGAGAGCTCCTAGAGCCACTCTGGACCGACCGGACGCATCCGGTCACACCGGACCAGACGCAGAGTCCGGTCGAGTCCAGAGAGCTCCCAGAGCCGGTTTGCCTTGAGCTTTTTTGTTTTTCTTTCTTCTTTTCCAAGTCCAAGCATTTGATCATCACCATGCCATCATCATCATCATGTCATGATCTTCATTTGCTTCACCACTTGGAGTAGTGCTACCTATCTCATAATCACTTTGATAAACTTGGTTAGCACTTAGGGTTTCATCAATTCACCAAAACCAAACTAGAGCTTTCAGAATAGGATACTCATCATGGAAAACAATCAACATATTCTTTGAGAAGCTCGATTAACTTAACTTTATAATCGGCTTCCAAGTTTTCATTTATAAACGTCGGCCTACGCACAGAGCCATCCCTAATATCAACTTGTTCCAATGGGTCGGCCGACATGAAACCTTGTCCTAATTTATCAAGCTCATCAAAATCATCAATAGCTTCACAAGTATCGGTCTTAGAAGCCCGATATTGCTCAACACAATGTTTTAACCACTCTAAATTAGCATCCATTGATAAATTATATGATGATATTGAGCCGATTGCCAATCGGCTTCAAAGAAACAGGTACAAAGCCTTCCCTAGTGACACTAATAAATTGAAAATCAGAAAGATCACGTCCAGAAAGACAAGCAATACCATCATGCCCCCCGAGCGAAGGAGCATCGGCCGTAGCAACATAGGCTGATGAATATGCATGGACAACCTCAACATTGTCTCCCACCCATTGAATGAGAAACTGGTGCAAGCTAGAAGGGACACACCGATTTGCATGAATCCAATCGCGCCCAAGAATCAAATTATAGCTACCTTGCACCTCGGCGACGAAGAAGGCGGTGGCCAAAGTCTGCTCCCAATGGTGAGCTCCATCAATGCAACTCCTTTGGCCAGAATAGGATCACCTCCTCCAACTCCGCTGATCATCATGTTGGTTTTGATCTGCTCCTCATCCGTGCCTACAAGCTTCTTGTAAAGCGAATATGGCATCAAATTTACAATCGCCCCGCTATCCACTAACATGTTGTGAACCAGAGTCCCATTGACATGACCCTTCACATGTAGTGGTTTGAGATTATTAACGGAGTCCTCTGGTTTCTAGAAAACAACACTTTGAATAGCAAAATTGAATTGGGTGGTCGTCGAGTCATCTCCCAAAACATAATAGTCAGACGACAAATACACCACATTCACTTCTGCCCTCTCTGGAGAAGCTTCATAATCCACCATCTCCTCATCATAATATCCATAGTATTCTTCATCATTCATAGGATCAATAGCATCGTCAACCGAGGCCGATTCAATTGGAGACGAATTAGCAACGTTGGAAACCAGAGGAACCGGCCTAGCCGTTTCAGAAACTGGCCTGGCCAGTTCTTCAGTAGTGGTGGCCAGAGGAACCGGCCTAGCCAGCTCTAGAACTGGTCCAGCCGGTTTGGCAGACTATGTAGATGATGAACCGGCCTGGCCAGTTTCAGAATCGGCCTGGCCAGTTTCGCTGCTGCAACCGGCAACTTCACCACCTTTTTTGCTTGATTGTGGAGGAATTGGATGCATCGAATTGAAATTTCTTTGCTGATCTTCTCCAACTTCTCCTTCTTTTGCTTGTTGTGCTGGGCGCGCTGCAATTTATGCCTCTTTGTCTTGGTCAACCCCGGAGGACACCACTTTGGTTGCAAATATTTAGGATCACGCTCGGCCGTTTCTCTTTCTCAATTTCAGCAACAACACTTGGAGATTCTTCTTGAGTTGCTGCTGGAGCTGGACCCTCAATCACAATCGTCCCAACATGATTAGTGATGGGCGCCTCCATAGAGCCGATTGTGATGGATGGAAGAGGATTGGGCTTCGGTAAAGGAGCAACGGGAATTTCAACCTTCTTAGGCACATAGACTTGCTGCATTGGCCTTTCCCGATTCTTGTGGAGTCAAAGTTCTTGATGTGATGACTCGGCCTTGACTTGTACCGCTGGAGTTCAATTGGACATTGCCCAATCGACTAAAGATGGATTGTCGTGAATCATAACCAGCAGGCTCTCCCCACCTTTGTTGATGATGCATAGGTGCCGCAGGAGGATGTGGCACCCAAACTCCATAAGGGCCCCATAGTGGTGTGATGAGATTCGAAACTGGGGGACCCCAGCGAGACACACGAGGAGCAACTCTTTGCTGCACCGGAGCTGCTACCTGAGCCACCACCATTTGCTTGGATTGATCATCTTGCTTTGGCGGTGCGGGCTCTTTTTTTTTAATGGCCGATTCATAGAATCGGCCTTTTCTTTCTTATACTTGGCCATGAGTCTATCAAATGTGCATTGGCACTTCACGAACTTCCTCTTGTTCTTATCTTCATTTGATTTCCACGTGCCAAATTCGGGCCTTTTTGGAACAAAAGTGCGCAATTTGCGAATTTCTGGGCTGCTGGAACTTGACGAACGGGCCTGGCCAGTTTGGCTGCTGTGTGGGACTGTAGAACCAGCCTGGCCGGTTCGGCTACTATGTGGAAACGGCCTGGCAGCCTTTGTTGAGCTGCCACCGCTTCGTCATGCCAGCGCTTGTTCAAATACTTGGTGGAGCTTGCTATGATCTTGAGTTGATTTTTGTCATCCTCATTCTTCTCAAGAACCACTTTGCGCCTCACAACCTTCTCAACTTTTGGTACTTCCCGAGGCTCGCCGATTATCACGTTTTTGCCTTGTGTTGAATCGGCTTGCTCTAGGTGAAACAAAACAGCGGGCTCCCCTGCTTCAACCATATGCATTGGAAAATGGGACTTATCAACTTGCATCTCAGTAAGACTCAATCGTCCCTCATTACGGGCCGATTGGACCTACCTACGGAAAACATTGCAATCATTAGTGGCATGAGAAAGAGAATTATGATATTTGAAATAAGCTTTCCTTTTCAATTCCTCCGGTGATGATACTTGGGAAAAATGATGGCACACAAATTGCTTGCAACGTGTTGCCAAGGAAGACATGTCATTTGCAGTTGTCAAGGAAGACACTGTAATCTTTAGTTTTCATTTTCAGTTTTCCACTCCAGTTGTGTGTTGCAGGCCTCCTTGAGATAGCACTCATACTGTCGTGTCATGAGTACCTATCTACTGATACGATTGGATGAAACATCTGATTGTGAATCACCAAAACATGTCTGATCTTTCTGAATTTCAGCCGTTTTGTGTCTGTTTAATACTTCTCCTCACTCTTCGGAAGGGAGGGAGGCACTGACTTGTGGTAGGATGAAATCATCAAGCATCAGCAAAGGCGACAAAACTTTTGATCCAGCTAGTATTTTCCATTTGAAACTTTTTTCGATTTGCAAAGTTTCATTTCAATCCTCGCTCACAATTGACACAACACTAGGAACAACATATCACACCATGTTTTGCACTTGCTACTGAGTATACTGACGCAAGACAGAGCTGCAGATATACACTCATCAGACGCCACTAGACCACGCACTCCTCTGCGCAGGTGCCGGCGCCGACGCCACGGCACTCTAGGGCGGCGACGTGCTCCCCATGCATCGCCACCAAGTCCGGGTGCCCGTACCTGGCCGCGGTGACGGCATAGCACCCAAGCACGTAGATGAAAGCGAGGAACACGGCCCCGAACATCTGGAAGTTGGCCAGCTGCTCGGCGCGCTCCTCCGCGGCACGGCTGCGGCAGTCGACCTGGTGGCCGTCGGCGTCCCGGTCACACCCGTCCGGGAGCATGGGCCCGTACAGCGTGAGCGCTGTCTGGTAGAACCACATCCCCTGCAGCGCGATGAGCGTGCCCGCGGCGACGTCGACGGGGAAGCTCTCCGGCAGGAGCGCGCCGAGGACGGTGGTGAGGATGCAGAGGCCGATGAGGATGACGAGGAGGTGATGGTAGTAGCCCTCTAGGCCTGCGTGGGTCGCAGAGTGGTAGGAGAAGAGCAGGAACTCCGACGTGAATGCCGTCGCCGCCACCAGGCACAGCTCGCCATCGGTGAGAGGCAGGTACCTGCAGTGATCGCCATTGCAGTGAGTTTATGACACTGAGTCAAATCTATTTGAGCTGATGATCGCAATTGCAGAGAGCTCAGCTTAATCCGGGTGTTAAATGGAGGCAAAATTTGACCTTTAACACAAGATTATTATGCAACGAGATCGACCATTACCAAATTTATGTCTCAGTTCGACTTTCGGCTCTACGAATTTCACACAAACTCTAAGAACAGAGTTGACAGATCCACGAAGTACAGAGAACGACGGAACCACACCTGGTGCACTTCTGGGAGAGGAGGGCGAGCGCGCCAAAGAGGAAGAACATGAGCAGCATGCCGGCATGCTCGAGGTAGATGAGGCTGGACTCCGGCGCGACGCCTCCGCCGCGGCGGGCGAGGACGCCGCCACCGAGCTCCAGGCACATGTCGAGGAACGCGCCGCCAGCCACCACGTAGAGCTCCAGGAGGCGGGGCACCCTAGGGAGCTCGAGGGGGCACCACGCGCGGACGCGGAACGCCGGCGGGTCGGCGGCGAAGCGCACCACGGCGGACCACACCCGCCACAGGCCCACCGCCAGGAACAGCGTCCCCGGCAGCACGTGGCCGTTGAAGGACCCCATTTGGTATCGGCTCGCGGCGGCGGCGAGCTGGTCCCGGGTCGCCGACTGGGGCACGGCACTGCCGGACCGCGCGGGGTCGGTGGATCAGAGGCAATGTGCACCGGCAGGCAGCCCCCGATCCTGACCCTGGGGAAGAGAAGAGGTTGGGGGATAGATGGGTGGCCAGATCTCGGCGAGGATCCGAGACAGGGAAAAAAGCAAAAAGCTTTCGTCTTTAAGTGCCGGGGGGTCCAAGATTTGAGACAGACGGGACACCATAGTCTAGTCCAGACGTCCAGTCCAGTAGCTTCGTCCTCCGACTGTTGTGCTGCACCTGCACCTGCACCTGCATGGCACCGCACTGCACATCTTGCTCAGAGATTCAGAGCTCCGGCGAGCCATGTCTGCGTTTCTTGGCGCCCCATCAGGATTTGGTCTGATCCCAGGTCTCTCTGCGTCGTGGAGATCCCTCGTTTGGTCAAACCTATGATGTGTTCTTTGGATCAGGCCCCTTAAAAAGGACTATTACTGTGGACGTGTTTTTCTTCTAATAAAGTTAAAGGATTAAGTCCACTTTTGGCCCCTCAACTATTGGGGTTGTCTAATTTTGACAATCAACTATAAAACCGTCTAATGTTGTTACCGTAACTGTCGAAACCGTTCACTTTTAGCACTTGGGCGCGGGCGGGGCTGTTTTGTCCAATGTGGAGCGGGTTTGAGCACGCAACGCTGGCGTCGACCACCACGTACAACATCGGCCTTCATCTCAGTGACATGTGGGGCCCACATGTCAGCCACTCATCCCCTCCCTCCTCATGTTTCTCTGGTCCTGGCTAAGCTCAGAGCAGAGCCGTGCGTGGGGAATGGCCGGCCTACGCCCAAGCCTAACCGGAGACAGCACAGTGGTGGCGGAGGGCTGGGTCAAGGTAAAAGGCGCTGCACTAGGCCCAAGACTGCTCCTAAATTTATGTCACCTAGGTTCACAGATTTTGAAAACACATTCCTAGTAATTTAACAAGTTTAGGGACACACGGTGCATCACTTAATAAGCTTAGTGATCCAAAAATATATTTTCAAAGTTAGTGGACCTAAATGACACATTTTGATAAGTTCAAGACCTTATGCATTTAACTCTTTCATTTGTTATTCCCTCTATTTTTATTAGATGTCGCATTAGCTTTGTCCTAAGTCGAACATTTGTATCTTCAATTGATTTCAAAAAATCTATATAGATTCATGTCATAAGATTTATGTTTTTAAATTCACTATGAGAAATACTTTCATAATATATGGTTCATGTGTTGTGAAACTATAAGGATTTTTTAAATAGTTGGTTAAAGATAATAATATTTGGCTTAGGACAAAGCTAGTGTAACATGTAAAAAAGAAAAAGAGGAAGTAATTCAATAACTGAATCAGGCACCTTAAAAAAGCTAGCGGTTATAAGAATTTAGGGATAAAATTATAAGAAATCTGTGCTGTTTGAATGAAATTGACTCGTAACGTTAACAGTGGTACGGCCATTTGCTGTTCCCACATAACAGGTCTTAGTAGAGGTTTTATGTCCAAGCTTTCGAAAAACTCTAATATGATGAAAATAGAATAGATAAGTTTTATTTCATTAAACTTTCATTATCTTTTTCTTCATCTATACTATACTATGTTAATTTATTTAATGCCTATAAATCTTTTATGAAACCTTCACTAAGACGGATCTAATGCAATATTAAGGAACACGATTATTGCCAAGCCCAAAAGGGCACTATTTGCCCCGTTTCCGTCCTATATACTTGTCTTATGTTGTCCACTCTCGCAGGACCGAATCCAAAAACTGGTCTTGAGTCCTGGAATCCATGGGCCAGACACTTTTAGAGTATATAACTCAGCCCACAGGCTTTAAGGCCCAATATTACCGTGTCTGTTGTCGTCATGTTCTATATTCGTAATTGCCCTAAACAAATCTATATTTGCAATTTCTTTTCTTTTTTTTTTTGCAAGATTCACAATTTCTATTTAGTTTTTTTTAGGAAAGCAATTTCTATTTAGTGACCAGTGGGGCCAGAGTACCAACCAGCGACCATGCCACTATGGGCCGACCTGCTGGTGCTGAACTGAATGGCCTACTATAGCTTTTCTTTTCGCCAACTGATCATTAGATCAACTGGTTAGGTTTTTTGTGGTGAAATATTCCTACCTAGGTTTGAGTCTTCGACTTGATAAGGGTGCTCGTATTTTCCTAGATTTATTCTAGGATTTAACGGTGCTATACTTTCAGTGGTAAGCAATGTCCCCGTCAGCGAGGCGTCGGTGGTGACTTCGTGAGTCTCGAGATCGGCTCAATCCTTCGGAGGTACTCATAGGGGTAGGATTTGCATACATGTGTTCATAGGGGTGAGTGTACATACGTGTTATGGCGTCTGTGTTGTACCGTGTAATTTTAAAAAAATACTATAGCTTTTCTTTTCACGTGGCCTTAGAGAGGCCTGGGTAGAGTTTCCATGGGATGATTTGTTTGTACTACTAGTTTGTTTTATTAAATTATTATATCTCTTTGAAATGCAATATAGTTTACTCATGTACTGTCCGCTGTCAACTCTATTTGCCCCAACGTGTTTCTTACAATGAGATCAACAAGACCTACTGTGCATATATTTTGGATTATTTTTTATAAGTGATGAATTAAGTGTCTATTGGGAATATTGATTAAGGCTATGGAGTTTGCCCCCCCCCCCCCGTCTCGGATATGTTACTTGTGTGTATTGATTAGAGTTACAAGATTCATACTAATTAGAGATCATAGCATCCATACCAATTAGAGTTGCAATAGGCATACCGATTCACTACTGGGAAGCAGGCCCGTTGTTAAGAGTGGTAGCCTTTGCCGAGAGCCAAATGTAAGACTCTCGGCAAAGAAAGGTTTGCCGAGAGTCGGCCCTCTAACAACGGTGAGGCCGTCGGCAAAACCATATTTGCCGAAGGCAAGGCCGTCGACAAAGAATTCCTCTCAAGAATCGGGCCCTTTGCCGAGGGTCCCGCCGTCGTTAAGAAAGAAAGGCCGTTATAAAAGTTTATCTTTGCCGAGGGGCGGCTCTCGGCAAAACATGGTCGTCCGGCAAACCTATGACGGGCAGCAAACGGCCTTCACTGCCGTCTGTTTTGCCGAGGGTCGAATTTAGCCCTCGGTAAAGAATTACTTTGCTGAGTGTCGTCTCTGTGCCCTCGGCAAAATATTTCTTTTTTGCTTTTTTTGCTTCCAAATTTTTCCCTGGGTTTACTATTGAACCTTAAAGTACATATTAAAATTTGGAGCTTTTTGATTTTATTAGCTATATTTAATAAGTTTATTTCATTTACTTGAATTCTTCAGTAATTCAAATTTGAGCTATGAGTGCATCGAATATTGGAATTGAGTGATTCAAAAATCATATTCATGGTATTGCATGCGGAGATGTCTACCATGAATATGATTTTTGAATCACTTAATTCCAATATTCGATGCACTCATAGCTCAAATTTGAATTATGAAGAATTCAAGTAAATGAAATAAACTTATTAAATATAGCTAATAAAATCAAAAAACTCAAATTTTAAATATGTCTTTTAAATATTATTGTTAGTACCAGAAAAAATTGGAAAAAAACAAATTTTTTATTTGTCGAGAGCCTCAAAGGGCTCTCGGCAAAGAGTTTAAAAAAAATTAAAAAAACTTTGCCGAGAGCCTGGATCTGGGCCCTCGGCAAAGGCCCAGTCCACATAAACCACTCACAGCCCACTTAGCCTTTCCACTCGCTCGCATGCCAGATCCCTTCCTCTTCTCGCCACCCGGTCCCCAGCCTTCAGCCCTCTCTCTCTCCCCCTCCCCGTCCCCAAGCTTGTGGGCGCGGCCGGCCGTCGGCTGCCCGTCGTCATTGGGGCACGCGTCGTCCCGCCTGCTTCCCATGGCCACGGTGAACACCTGCCCAAGGCCCTCTGATGCCCCACCCTGACCATGCGCGTCGGCCGCTCTGCTGGCCCACCAGCCATTAGCACCGGTGGCCCACCACAATGGTGGCCCCACGGCCCCGCCCTGGCCACCACTAACCGTGGCCCACCCATGACCAGTAGGCGGTGGCCACCACGCCCCAGCCGGTGGCCCCAAGCCATAAGGCCCCACCCGTGGCCCAGCAGGGCCGTGGCATAGAGCATTTGGAGGAGGAAGGGAGAAGAGAGGAGAAGGAGAAGGGAGAAGAAGAGGAGCAGGGAGAAAGGAGGAGGAGGGAGAAGAGGAGGAGAAGGAGAGGGAGAGGAGAAGGAGAGGGGGGGAGAAGAGGAAGGGAGAGAGAGGAGGGAGAAGGAGAGGCCGACAAGCTCATCACGCCCAGGCGTCGTCGCGCGTCACCCAAGCGATCATCGCTGCGTTTTCCCAGCGTCTAGCCGAAGACGAGGTGATCCCGACTACACGTTGCCCGACTACATTGCCACCAAGGTAAAGCCCCGTCCCACTGCAAGGCTTTGGCCTTCGTGCCATTTCTAGATTAGTGGGCCTTCGTGCCTTTTGTGGATGTGTTGGCCATCGTGCCATATGTCGGCGTGGTCGGCCATCTATCGTGCCTCTTTTTCCTTGCAGGTTTTGGAGGCCTCCCGATGGGGAGGTTCTGCTGAAATTTTGAACTTATAAATTGTGTTTCTTGTTTTGCAGAGAGAAGAGCTGACGGAGGGACCCGGTGTACCCGGCGTCTTCCTTGGTCCGCACGCACCACGTCACCTCTCCACTTCACCGCCACCCTAGGTATAAGCCCTTTGTCCAGTAACCCTAGCTAGATCGCGTAAACCAGGTTAGGGCGTCTCCCCGTCGAAAGAGATACGGTCGTAGGTATGCGGATCTCTGCATATCTGCGACCGTATCTGTTTTGTATTGTCCACATTATTTGGACAGCCCGCGGATGCGTAGATGATTTAGTTTGTATGGTTTGGTTCGGTCCGAGATGGGGTTTCGGTAGCACCTCCCTGTTGTTCTCCGGATACACACTCTCCCTTCTAGG